GACACCAAGGGTTGTGATCCTGTTACCGGTCAGTAAAAAAGACAAAAAGAAAAAAAAAAAAACGAATTAGGGACCATTATTTTCTCCATTTCATAGATGATAGGAGATGCCTGAGGACAGGTAGGTTATACAAGTTATGTAACTGAATCCCTGTAATTCCATGAGGCAAGCTAGGAAGAAGGATACAGCAAAGAACAGAAGGGATTAATCACCTTTTCCAAAGAAAAAGTAGGTTCAGTGTCATGGTAGCCCCTCTCGGATGAGCAGTTCAAGCTGGGAAAATAAGAGCATGGGTTACATCAGGTGAAGGTAGCAGTAAAGAGATCCTGTAGGAGTTTTTGTAGAATGTTCCACTGGGACTAGATTCTTTCAAGATTAGACCTTGAGAGTACCAAGAAGTATGATTCAAAGTCAGACTCAATGACAGGGTTGGCCTGTTAGCTCAGTTGATTAGAACATGGTGTTAAAACACCAAGGGTAAGGGTTCAGATCCTTGTACCAGCCAGCCACCAAAAAATAAAAAAATAAAAAAAGAGCCAACAACAGTAATAATATTGAGCTAGGAGCTCTCTCAGTGGAGGAGTCAGAAACGGGATTTTTACAACCTGTTCAAAGTCAGGACCACGATATTTTGCCTCCCAAACTGACCAGTAGTCACCTCATACAGCCCCCTAGTGGGCAATTGTCATATAGTGGTCAAAACACGCTGCCCAGTTCCATCACTGTTTAATTCCTATAAAGGGCACTGGGGGGATTAAGAGAAGAGTCCCAAGTTCTGATTTCCTTCGCATAGGCCTCTCATTTAGGGCTCTGGGTTTTTTTTGTTGTTGTTGTTGTTGTTGTTTATTTGTTTTTTGAGAAGGACTAGCTTCAGGAGCTGATGTCCTGAGCAACTGCCAACCTAGAAAAGGAGAGATTAAGATTAACCCTTGGAGAGCCTGGGGTCAAATAGAAAAACTTTACCTTTTAAAACTCCTGCATTGTTTCTCTTCCTGCCACTGTGCTAATGATGAAACTCAAGAAAAAACGAGAGGTGGGACCCATTCCTCTCTTTCTAACCAAGCAGCAAACCACTCATTATTAATAAATAATGCAAGTTTTTTTCTAGGTCGATTTAATTAAGATAGGTATTCTTTTAATGTTATTCATTTTTAAAGTGAATGATAATATTTCTACTGCCCTTTTTCTCAAAAACGCTAATAAAGGCTTCCTGAATGTGGTACTCAATTTTTTAGTCAGTGGTCCTCTGCTGAAGAAAGGGAGAGATCTTCAGGAACATGCATGCTCCATTGGATAGGATCACTCTCCCTGCAGACAAATGGAGTAGTAGCCCATCAAAGTCTTTCAAGGGCTCATCATTACTCAGCATGTCCACATATGTAATATATATTATATATTTAGCATATATGCCATATGTACTAAAAGGCTGAAGGTGAAAAATTGGAAGACTCAGATAAGGGGTGAGGGATCTATAGGCCATGGGGTGGCGAGATCTTGTGGGGAAGGGTCCATGGGCTCACCTTCTTCTTTTTGTTCACTCTCCCATGCTCAATAACCCTTCGTGACTGTTCTGTAGCTCTGGGATGCTGGACTGGAACACTAGAATAGAGTGCCTGTTCTCTATGCTCAACTGCTGAGGCAGCAGTGTGCTTCAGATGATGATGAAGTGTGGCTGGTTTCTTCCGCATTTGAGTGAGCCCTGGAGGATTGGTTCTCTTTCTATTTCTGTATGGAGGTTCCATCTTCTTTCTGTCATGTTCCTGAATTCAATGGAATACATCTTTCCTACTGTTTGAAAAAAGCAGAGACATCAATCAGGCAAGCCAAAAAAAAAAAAAGTGAGCCTACAAAACAGATTTACTTTTAAACTTTTTTCTCTTTCTGTACTTCAGAATTAACTAATTATTGGAACAGAGAAACATTAGAAATGGGAATACTGGGGAAAGACTAGAACATCATGTCTTAGAGAAGAGGTTGGGCAAATCAGGGGATAGAGTGGGGACAAGGACTTCTGTCTAAAAGTCACAAATAATCTACCTACTTGTGATAGAGGGCTTCAGAGCAAAATCCCAAACATTGTAATTCAGGGTCATGGATTGGCTGGTTAAGGGAATTCAGGACAACTGGA